TCGGTCATATCACCACAAAGATTATGTGAAAATCTAAGGGTCGGCTACCTCCGTTTGCTCGTATGTTTGTATGTCAGCTCAGAATATCGCTACAGTCCCAGGGGTTCCCTGGAGGGGAGCACGGCAACGGCTCTACCCAGGGAGGGGGGGGGGAATCTCTCCTTATAATGGAGAAAAGACGACTTGGCAACTGAACGCTTGCATGGGTTTGGGCATATATTTTCTTTGATTTGTGTGCGTGTATGTTATATTACGAAAACCGTTCAATAGCGCCACAAATGGAAAATCAACGTGAAAAAAGAGAGATAGGAGAGAAGGTGAAATAATTGCAATAATTGCGGAGATGGACCTTTACAAACACAAGGAATAGGAAATAAGCGTAGACAAAATGTAAGAAGAAACGGGATTGAACTGGAAATAGAACACACAGCATTAGATCCAATAAAGAAATGGAATAATCGAAGAAGCAAAGAAAGAAGGGAATGTATATAAGTGAAGAGAACATTAAAGAAAAGGAAGAGAAGGGGAAAGAAGAAAAAGATGATAATGGCGATAATACGCAAAAGAAAGGGAGGAGAAAGTAGCTGATAATGATAGCAATGACACAATACCTGTAAGACCAAAAGGACGTTGAAATAGAGGAGAAGAATGAGAAAACTGTGATAGCGATGGTGCACAGAAGAAAAGAAAGGAAGAGAATATACTTTATTTATGTTTATAATTTTCACTATCTTAGCTTTTTGATTTTCAGTGTTACCATTATTGTTACTGTTGATATTGTTTTATTATCATCATTATAATAATAATGATTATTATTATCATTATTATTGCTATTATTATTATTGATATTATTGTTATTATTATTGGTATCATTGTTATTGTTACTGTTATTATCATTACTGCTATTACTGTTATAATGATAATGATAATAATTATTATAAGAATTATTATTATTATTATTAGTTATTGTTATCATTATCATTACAACTATTATCATCACTATCATCATTGTTACCATTATCATTGTCGTTATCATTGTTATTATCATTATTATTATCATTATTATCATTATTATCATCATCGTCATTATTATTGATAATGCTTCCGCCAAGGAGGTTATGTTTTTGGTGGCGATAGTTATTATTTGTTCGCTTGTTAGCAAGATAACTCAAGAAGTTATGAAAAGATGTTTATGAAATTTTGAACAGATATGTATCTTCGCCTAGATTAGATTCCTTCAAATATTGGTGGTGATCCGGATCCAAGATTTTTTTTTTCTTTTGTATCATTACTCCTATTGCCAAGGAGGCTGTGTTCAGGGACGTCACCTGCGCATTTGAGAAAGGCGATCTTTAATGCAGATCTGTAAGTGCGAATATTTCTCTTGCATCAGTGACCTTATTGCCTTGGCGGAGGTATGCGCTCTCTTTGTGCTTATGGTCATTATTACCATCATTATCATTATTATTATCATTGTTATTATAATTATCGTTTCCATTATCATTTTCATCGTCACTATCATTGTTATTGTTGATATTATCAAAATTATCATCATCATTATCATTGTTATTGTTATTGTTATTATTCTGATTATCATTATTATCATGATTAATATCATTGTCGTTATTTCTGTTATCATTGTAATCATTATTATTATCACTATCATAATCATCATCATTTTTATTATCAATATTTTTGTTGTTATCATGATTACCATTATTATCATTTTTCTGATTTTTTTGTTCTCATTAGCATCATCATCATTATAATCATCATACTAATCACCATCATCTTTATTATCTTTATTATCATCATCACAATCATCATCATCACATCATCATTATCATTATCATTATAATCAACCTCATCATCAATATCATCTTTGCTATTACTGTTACTATTAGTAGTAGTGGTAGAAGTATAGTTATCACCTTTGTTATTACCATTATTATTGTTGTTATTATTATTATCATTATCATTTCACCATTATCATCGTCATCGTCTTCGTCATTGTCATCATCATCATCATCACCATCAACATCATTATTATCATCACTATTATCATTGTCATTGTTGTAAACACCATTACATTACCATTGCCATTATAATAATTTTCCTTATTAGTGCTAATGCTATCATTATTGTTATTCTTATTATCATTATCATTATTTTTATTATCATTACTATTAGCATCATCATTACTACTATTGTTATCCTTATCATTATGATTCTTTTTATCATTCTCATGACAATGGTCATTGTTCCTATCATTACCATCATTATCATGATTATCATTCCTAGCCTTATCATTATTATACTGCTATTCTCGTTATTGCTATTACTGTTCGCATTGTAATCATCATTATATGATCCCGAACTATGAGAAAGAGGAGGCGCAGCCCTTTGTGAAAGAGTGAGAGTATGAGTGCCACACTCACCATACTGTGAATCGAAAGTTCCCAAAATATACCGTTTCCTTATGTGAGAGATCGGTGTGAAAACCGCTAAGCTTTCTATCTGGTCTATTCTACCCTCAGGGGCTTTCTTCCCATTTCACCCTTTCCTTGGAAATCCGTTAAAAAATTCTGGTGGAAAAAGCATTGTTCTGCCAAAATGGTGGGGGCGTACACCACTCACGCCCTCCTTCCCGCCCTATTTGGGTACTAAAACAAGCTGTGCCTTTGTCTACTTATATGGCATCGTGACAGCTGAGAGAGCAGTCGTTATGAATTTGCTTTGTAATGCTTTATCTGCATTAAAAATTCCTCGGTTTTCCCAACAGCCCCTCCCTCCCCCAACTCCTGATAAAAAGACATAACACCAAAATTACGCGATAGTCACGTGGATTTTGCATGTGACTGTCTTGCGTAATGACTGCTCTATCAGCTGTCACGATGCCGGTATTGTCAACTGCTGTAGTAGATATCCTGTTTGACTTCAGGGTATCCCGTACATTTATACATACTCCTCCTCGCCCTGCATCACATCTGTAAACTTTAAAAATTGGAAAGAGAGAGAGAGAAAGAGAGAGGGGGGGAGTGTGTGTTCGTGCTTGCATTACATGATACTAGATATATCATAATCAACGCAACAGACACCAATCCACATTGCATATTTTACGGTCTGCCGAGGTGCGCCCAAGGTCTATAAAAGTTCTTTTATAGACCTTGGGTACGCCGCCGTCAGCAACGGGCTAAACCCACTCGATTCCGCGAAGTGATAAAGAGATTTGGGAACTGAAAATATTTTGGGAAAAAATATAATCATGAAAGATATTGCTCATAAATCATGTTTCTATTATCCTTTAATACCTTTTCTTTATTGCAGGTATCTTGATTTTGTTGAATATGAATCCACCCCCCGCCGGAAGTCTTATTTTATCATTATCACACAGTTGGTTCTTGTAATTTTCATTAAGAATTTTTTTAAAGGGCTTCTAGAAAATGGTTAACATGAATTTCACTTTGAAGGTCCATCGAGGAAATCAAAATGTCTATTTACCGAAGATATCGATGAAAAAACGGGTGTCGACACGTTCTTCCAGACTTTGCTCGTCATGGAGCCAAAAGAAAAGATAATAAATGTCAATTTGAGAAATATCAAATAGACATATAATCTTTAAAAAGCGACATATTATAATTCTAAATCTCACTTCATCACCTGAGTTATGTATATTTTTGTCTTGTAGCTGCTACGGCACCATTGTCTCCCAAAGATCTCTCAGGAATTGGATTGGCAGGTAGATAAAATACTGATATGCATAGGCGTAGGAAGGTATTTTGAAGTGAGGGGCACAGGTTCCCCCAAAAGTAGCCGGGAGTCCTGGGGGCTACAGGCCCCTGGCAGGGTCTTATGTCCGCGCCCCTGCGTGGGATCAAGGAGCGAAGCCCCCGCAAGCTAATGGATTTTAGCAGTTTTAAAGAGTTAAATCCATTAATTTATGTAATATGTCAGGCATTTTTATTTAGATGATACTTGACGTAAGAGTTATTTCATTTTGAACACCAGACTCAGTTGTGGCTGCCCTCTCAGTCGCAGGGGGTCAATGTTCTCAACAACTGGGTAACTAAGGAGCTGCACTGTTTGTTTGCTTACAGGAAATGTCCTCGAAAGCTGAAGACTGTGGGGGGAGCAGTCCCGCCCCCTTTATTCAAAGTGGGGAGCGGTTCAGCCCCTTGCCCCTTTCCCTATGCCTAATATATATATAATATATATATATATATATATATATATATATATATATATATGCATATATAATTCAGCCATTAGCAGAGAGATTAGATAGATATTTGTTTTCTTTTTTTTTTTTTCCTTAGATCCAGGAAACCGCACGAGATAGACAATGGACACAAATATAAGATAGTTACCCCTTTAAAATCGAAACCACAGAAAACAATTTGTGCTATCATTTTCTTTAATTAATACCGTGTATGTACTTGAATTTGAATTCTAACCGCAAGTAATCTCCAAGCTTGCATTTAGCGGTCGAAACGAGAAGAAAATAATTTTATTTCCAGGTGCTTTTGCTTTTCACAAAAAAAAGAACCAAAAACATTGCATCATAGAGCATGACACATTTTTAGGGTACCCTAATAATTTCAAATATTACTTTATTATCATTTTTTTTATTGTTATCATTACCATTATTATTATTATTGTCATATCTGTTATCATTATTGTCATTATTATTACTATCATTATTATTATTATCATTATTAAAGATTTTTTTTGTTATAATTATCATTATTATCAGTTTTATTGCAGCTGCATTCTGAGTTTGTGCATTGTGCATCAGCAAAGTTTCAACTTTCAACATTTAATAAAATTGTCTTCATCTTGTTCATAAGATTAGTTCCACATTTCCTTCTATCTAAAATCTAAATTATGTAATATATTATATATATATATATATTGTAAGAAAGACCAGTTTGTTGCTCTTAATATTCGGGTTGTGTGTACTCCAGCTATAATTTACACTTTGGATAATGTTAAACTCGTGGACCATTTAACCATTCATTTGTATTTTGGGGAAGATGCATAAATTCGACATTAAATCAGTATGACTTAAAATGAAATCAGAAGAAACAACAGCAAATTCAAAACAATTAATCACACTATAAATCAATGAAATTTCCCAATGCTGTTTCAATCAGTATATCAAATTCAAAGTTCTTTCACCTTAATTCATTAATTTAAAGCTTATCACTCCAATTCAAAAGATATTCTCAAAGGCAATCGCATTTCCTACTGCAGTTCCTTCACGAAGAAGAGCATGACGTCGCCCCCCCCCCCTGGGTTCTCCCTCGCGGCCGAAGCTGAGGTTCTGGACGGCGACTCCGCTTTCGCTCACTTTGGTGTGGCGCGGCGACGTTCTTCTGGACGCGCATCCCTGTGTTTTCTTGGCTTGGACAACTCAGTTTCCTTTTTTTTATTGTTGTCTCGTGGAAAATGATACTCCTTTATTACCTTTTGCTGTAGGGATCCGTGGGTCTGTTCGCGCGTTTCGATGTATCTTATACATCCTGAGGGAATATTGGGATTCCCTTTTTCTGGCTTCAGGTTTTGACGCGGGACCACTTTCTTTTCTGGCTTGCACAACGCAGTTTCCGTTGGTTTTCTAGGCTTGTCTCGTGTTAGAAGATGAGACTCTCTAGCTCCGCGTTTCTGTTCGTTGGGCATCTTGCACCGACTTCGAAGGACAGATCCTCCCAGACCAACCTGTGGACAAGAACTGAACTGCTGAACGACCCGAGTGCTGGCCAGGGTTCGAAGTCCGAAATTGTGGAAAGAAGAGCAGGAGGGAAGAATGGAGGATAGGGGAAAGACAAGTGGCGGAGAAAAATGAATTTTAGAAGACAAAGGAGCCAGGGCTTAACCCAGCATGCAAGCTAAAACTTTGGGGAATAGTTGTAGTTGGTTCTTTGAGAGGAAAAAGAGCGGGGGGGGGGGGGCTTAAAACCACAATAAACAACCTAGAGGTCCCGAGAGCCTTTTCGGAGCCATTTTAGGATACCCAGAATGCCCTCGCATAACTGATCATGACGACAGTGGTAGCGACGAATTCCTCTCTCTTTACACACGCCAAATACATCGAAATTATGCCAATGTAGTATGATAATGTTTGCCAAGGAAAATACTGAATAACAAGGTTATTCTTAAAACAAATTTCGACGAAGTAAAGAAAGCATCAAAAGCGTTTACCTCAAATTCATTGTTCATGAACTGATCCCACAGCACCCACTGATACACAGAATACATTTCATATTTTTCGTATAATATGACAAATAAAGAAAATGTTTTGTTTTGTTCATATTTAGTGGCAGGAAAAATGCCAAGAACGTTACTCACTTTAGAAATAAGGATTGAGACTGCAACGGAAGAATTCCTCTTTTCTCGCTTCCCGTCGTTCACTGAAATGGCGGGGGGAGAATCTCTCCTTATAGTGGAGAAAAGACGACTTGGCAACTGAACGCCTGCATGGGTTTGGGCATATATTTTCTTTGATTTTCGGATATTTTCGTAATTATAAATCGGCTTACAAATGGAAAACCAACGTGAAAAAGAGGAGAAAAGGTGAAAGAAAGAGCAATAATTGCGGAGATGGACCGTTACACACACAAGGAATAGGAAATAAGAAACGGGAATGAACTGGAAATAGAACACAAGGCATTAGATCCAATAAAGAAAGGGAATAATTGAAGAAAGAAAGAAAGAAGAGAATGTATGCAAGTGAAGAGGAGAACATTAAGGAAAAGCAGAAGAAAGGGAAGAGAAGGAGAAAGGAGAAAAATATGATAATGGCCATAATACTCAAAAGAAAGAAAAGAGAAAGTAGCTGAGAGTAATAACAAAAAGGAGGACAAAATAGAGGAGAAGAATGAGAAAACTGTGATAACGATGGTACACAGAGGTAAAAAAGGAAGAGGAAGAAAGAAACTAGTAAAAGAAGCCTTGCAAAAAAATGTAACACAAACATGCTTATATACTTTTTCATTGTCATAAAAAAATCAATCATCTTATCGATTTTTTTCTTCTTTTCTTTTCTTTTTATCCTTTACTTATATTTTATAATTTTCACTATTTTATCTTTCAGATTTTCAATGTCGTCATTTTAATACTGTTGATATTGCTGTTATTGTTTTTATTATCATTTTATGATGATAAGGTATTATTATTATTATTGTTATTATTATTAATGTTATTGTTATTATTGTTAATATTATCGTTATTATTGTTACTGCAACTATTATTACTATTATTAGTGTTATAATGATAATAATAATTATTATAGTAATTATAATTATTATTATTAGTTATTGTTATCATTATCATTATTATCATTATCATTATATACTAGTACTAAACCGACCATACCGCCAACCCACTGAAGGGAGTGTGCAACTAGGATCTCACTAACTCCATAGACATTGCCTATCCGCTCCCCTTTTCACTCTCTTTCCTCTTGTTTCCCTTTCTTCTCCCTACTCTCCTTTCTCTCTCTCTCTCTGGTGTCCTTCTTTCTTTCCTTTTTTTATATTTCCTCTATCCCTCTCTACCTCTTCAAATACTATGTACTGGCCGGGAAGGGACAGATGCCATATATAACTGCCAGAACCGGTGTAAGTGATTCAGATTAACAATCATGGCACGCTATCTAAGCAACCTACAGTGAGACTATGGGGTAACACAAAAAGCTCTTTTATCTAATCAGTGGTGCGAGCAAGGATCATTGAACACATGCTCCAGGAAACATTAACAGTGGAATTTGTTCGCTTCTCAGGCCATCATGTCTTGATGTCGCCAAACGGAGGTGGCGCTAGAGGCTTGATCACCGGTCAGAACAACAATCACCTGCTCCTTAATAGCTGACCCGCCGCGCCGTACTGTGGAGATGGTGGAATCTCATGCTCTTGAGATCCACCTGGTGGGAACCCCCTCAAACTGTGCAATGTGTATAGCAGACCCTTGAATCGTAACTTTTGTGATGTCATCAAGATCAGACGCCATCACACCTCCTCGAGTTGCTACTGATCTACCCTTCCCCCTCTGTAAGCCTCGATAATGCGCTCGTAGCACTCGTCATTCGGTGCCTCCGTGGCATGTTGGGAGGAACTTTCAAGGATTGATGTACTCGTAGATGGTATATCAACTCAACGATGAACTGTGTGAGGAAGGAGCTGCACACTCGTACGTGAGGCATTTTGTGTGTATGTACAGCCAGCAACAAAAGCGGTTACGCCACGCCAGTCCTGGGCTCGGTGAGATCATGCCCTTCTTGCTCTGAAAGGAGGATAGTTCGAATGTGACGAGGTGGGAAAGTACGGAAATCAGGCGAAGTGCAAAAATGACTGAAATATACAAGAAGAGAGAGAGGGGGATCGCTTTTATTCCTGTTTAGTTGTTAATTTGGTGGATATATTGGAAACCTGCCTTAAGAAATAAATTATCGTTTATTATTTCGAAAATTATTATCAAGAAATCTTATCACATCGTTTTATTTCAATTCCTTATCATATATTCTATATAAAAAAACAAATTGTTGGAACTGTACTCATATTAATATTCGTCAGACGGAAATATCCTTCATTCATATATGAAGGATGTATATTAATATATGCCTCTACATTATCCTTAGCAGCTACTCTGACTTCTCTGTCTTATATCACCTGGGTCCACTATTTGGATAATGGTAAACTTTTGATATGTTATTTGGAAAAAAAACATATGACATTAGCTCATGTGCCATTATATTTCCAGATGTTTACAATTATTTAATTGCCAAAATAACGAAATTAATAAGTAAAAGACGGATATCGAAAGCAATGGATTTCTTGAATAGTTTGGAGGGGAAACACGACAAAGTGTTAGACACTAGCCGCTGAAACGACAAATAAAGGCGTATAGTCAAGTCTAAGGGAATATCCCCTTAGCCTTGGGTAAAGTGAAGCTTGACTCCATCATCATTACATTAATGCACCGCTGCAGACACTCATTGCTTTTCATTTTCCATAATTCATTTTCACCAACAGTTTCGGAAATAATATGATTAATTAGGTTGACTGACGATGCACTTTAAATCAATTTGTATCTCAAAAGTAACTTATTGCTGATATAATAGACATTAATACTTTCTGTAAGTATTGATTGCGAGGGCGGAGCCAGGTGGCCCATCACACTCAAGTTGACCCCAACCAAACCGTGCTTCTCGATTCATGAACGCGACTGGAGGTCGGGGTTCGTAGGAGGCTCCCAAACGAAATAAAAGGAAAACAAGGGAATCGATACCTATACCTTTAAAGCCCATTACCTCGAAGTTTTGCGGCCAAAGCCATTTATTAAAGTTTGGTAGCCCAAGAGGTGCTATTTGGGAAGATACATTATTCACACCCACAAATATTACCCACAGTGTGTTTGTTAATGTGTGTGTGTGAGAGAGAGAGAGAGGTGGGGGGGGGAGAAGTGAGTGAGAGGGAAAGAGGGGGCTGCAGACACTAGCCTCGATAAGATAGGACTGAAATATAGCCGAACACTCACTCCTTGCCTTGGCTAGCGAATCTAAATCACTTCCCCCCCCCTTTCCTAACTATGTCCAGGTTGTTTGAACGTGGGCCACCTTTCAGGACAAGAAGGGCAAGATCTCTCCAAGCTAGGGGCCGGATTCTCAAACGCGTTAAGGCGCCGTATCTCCTTAGGGCGCCTTAACTTACGGCCAGCGATCTTACGGCCCTTGCACAGAGCAAGGGACCCGCCATATTGGTGCGAGTTAAGGCGCCCTCGGTTAAGGCAGGGAGAGCAGCCTTAGCGAGTTACGGCGAAGCATAAATGACATTTTTCAGCCCTAGAACAGTTAATACAACATTACAATTTGTATTTTACTCAGTTACGGTGTCATTAGGTGTACATAAACTGTGGACTAGATAAGGCAACAAGTGTAGTATTCCAACATTACTATGATTTGCTTTACCCGATAGATGCAACCACACACCGTTTTTTTTTGGGGGTGAATAGAATAATTTTATAATAGCTTTCGTCGTGTTCCGAGCGAATCTAGCGTTCATTTCCTTCGCAAACGAAGTATAACTACGATATCGGTCCCGATAGCTGGGAGGGCATGATACATATCAGTTAATTTGAGGGGTAATTTCGAGAAACATCATTTAGAATACTAGCAAGCATAGTATATTGACACATTTCTTTTGCCACGTGATGACCATTCCATATCTGTTTGGTTCTACTGAGTGTCTATGTTCACATCACGTTCACGCTCGAATCTAATTGGCTCACATGATTTCCCTTGCCTACGTCATCCGCTACAAATCCGTCTGATTTTCCGTCACTCTTAACGACTTTTTGTCATTTGTCGCGGCGTTGGAGGCGTAAGCTTACTGCGGCTCCTGGAAATTGTGCATTTTATACCCTCTGTAACACCGTTATTATCAATTTGCGCAGAAAATGGTATAGAGGCAAATTCTTAGAATGATGTTGTACCGCTGGGTAAGCTGAGATTCTTTAAATTAGGTGTGGGGTTGCATTTTCAATAATACCAATTTTGTTGAAAAGTTTATCATGCACGGGCTGGACACAGCGTTGTGTTTACGAAATCAGCTGATTGGCATTTACGGTTTATGATTGGTGAAGATTACCCTAAGAGCCGCCTGAAACGGCAGCTGTGATTGGCCACCGAAGATCCGACGCCTTAAGTGATTTGCGGCGCTGCGGGACTTAAGGAGGGATAAGGCGCCTTAAAAAACGTTTGTGCATACGAAGCTAAGTCCGAGATACGGGCCTTTGACGGGCCTTAACTTAGGTCGCCGCAGGACGGTTAAGCCTCCAGCGCGCCTTAACTTACGGCTCTTTTGAGAATCCGGCCCCAGGTTGTTGGGAGTACACAATCCCGATTCGTTGCTTCAAAGGTTTGAATTACAGAAAGTTCGCTAATTATGTTGCGATCTATGAAAAGCACAAACAGATTGACTTTCACATCGTTACAATGTTTTAAAGATTTAGTTTTGTAAAATGTTGAAAGTATTAGTGAACTGACAATGGAGAATGAGTCGACTGTTGAAAGCAAGTCAAGATTGCCATGTGTTGAACGATTGATGAAAGGTTTTGGGTGAATGTTGCACGGAAAACAAAGGTTGCCATTCATCGAGTGTAAATTGTTTATTTGATTCGAAAGAGTTGAAACCAAAATTAGTTATTCAATTACAATTGAGAAAAGGTGTAGACGATGCAGGTAGATATAAAATAGTTACCCCTTGTTGGTGGAAATCAAACCACAGAAAATTAATTTGTGTTTTCATTCTCCTTAATGAATACCGTGTATGTACTTGAATTTGAATTTTAAACTCAAGTAATCTCCAAGCTTGCATTCAGTGGTCGAAACGAGAAGAATTTTTTTTTTTTTAATATCCAGGTGCTTTTATCATGTAAAATAAAAAAAATAATAAAAAAATAAAAAAT